AATGATTTTAAATACAAAAGGAATTCACAACTCCTTTTGAAGAAACTTTCTCGCAAGAGCTAAACAAACGCCTTCAAAAGTTTTATTTGTCGCCAAGAAAAAGTGATGACCGCGGCCGTTCGGTCATCGCGCGCCAAAATTGTAATCGTTGGCAACAGTAAATGAGTTAAAAATCATCATTTTTGTGCTCAATTATCTCACTGTTTTAGAATATACTAAAACAATTATTCACCTCAGTGTCAGTGGCTAGTAGTGGATATTTACCTCGCCGCTTCAAGACGTCGGCGAGTATCCACCCACTACTGACCACCTCCACTTCGGTGAATAATTGTTATTTAACGACGACAGAACTATTCTTGGTGACCGCTCTAGCCTGTCACGTGACTTTTATTTCTCCAAGATAATAATCACAGGTGACAAAATACAACAGACCATCGGTAAACATGGATTTTAATCTAAGTATAAGTTGCAGCTTTAACAGTTCTATTTAATTTTAGCAAAAAAGCACATAAATGTCTACTTATATTTAAGTTTAATTCACGCACCACCCCAGCATATGTGCAAGATCTTTGTAACCTAAAATTACCTAAAATTACCTAATAACCTTACCTAAAATTTGCATTAGTTTAAATTTTTCAGCTTTAGTCAGTCGTCTGCTCTCTTAAGAGCGCTTAATTGAAGTAAACTGGCTTAGAACACCCTTCACGTTTTCACTTAAGACTACGTGGCAGACCGTTTATATGGCTGAAACAAAGGGTGCGTTCGATTGGGAAATCCGGATTTAGATTTTCAAAATCTAAATCCGGATTTCCGAATCGAATGCGAAATCCGAAAACGGATTTCACCTCCGAGAAATCCGTCCTCAGGGTGGTTTTCAATTTAGAAATCCAAGTCCGGATTTCATGGATTTCCTTTTTACCGTTCGATTGGGAAATCCGAAAAAGGGTTTGCAAAACTATTCTCGTGAACAGTGGTCTTCTTTTTGCTAAGTATGCGTGCGCGTGCAAGACCGCTGTTCTTAAGGACAGTTTTTCAGATCCTTTTTCGGATTTCCCAATCGAACGGTAAAAATGAAAATCCAAAAACAGCGTACCCCAGCGTTGAAATCCGTTTTCGGATTTCGCGTTCGATTGCAAATCCGAAATCCGGATTTTAAAGTCTAAATCCAGATTTCCCAATCAAACGCACCCAAAATGTTGGATCGGATAGGTCACCCTACTTAATAGCCGGGTCAACTTTTCTCCCGTTTAAGGCGAGAAAATAAGAGAATGTGCGCGCGCTGTTGCCTCGAGCCAAGGGGTCAACTTTTTCTTCATATAAACACTAGCCTGTTCCAGCAGGCTCTCAGATAATGGGGAAGACGCGAAAGTAAAAGGCACGCTAAAAGTTGGCAGTTTTCTCCCGTTTTATTTTCTCGTTCGCGCTTTCTCAATTCAGCGGACTATCTTAAAGCCTGGAACGACGACTAGGCTTGGAGGATGACAGTTCTACTAGGGACACATTTTCTCCTGACATATTTTCTCCATATAAGGGGGCCTTGAGCTGGGATTCAGCTCTCCCGGATATAGTTGAAATCTTTTCGAAGGGAGCAACTTAGCCTTAAATACTAAAAGTTGATTTAAGTTAAATGCAATCAAGTGTAGGTGGCGGTAAGATAAAATAGCCATTAATGCATGTAAATATAAGATTCTGACAAGACTCTGCATGTCACACGATATAATTCCCATGGAATTAACTATCACTCTTAAAAACCCTCGTGAGACTCTGTGTTGTGCTCAAAAAAAGCCTTGCCGGTGTGGCGGTAAGAAACTGGCTGGATAACCAGCAGCGAATATCCTGTCGTGAGGACTCCTACTTTTTCTTCTTCTTCTTTTCTTTTGTTTTTTTTTTTAATTGTCTTTGCAAGCAAATTAAACTCTTGGGTTCCGCGGCCAATCGACTATGGAGCTGAAACCAACCTTCCACCGATTACAAGAAATCCACCTAGGCTTCATTTTGGTGGGAATAGTTTTTAGGACTTAAAAAACTTCCAACTTCCAACTCTAGCATCATGGGCTATTATTTAACTCTGACAAGTAGTCTCTGATCCATCGACGGAGAAAGAACCAGCTCATTGTGGGTTTGCCTCAGTGTAACATGAATTCAAAGTGAGATGCACCTAAAGTAATGTTCTTTTATCTCGAATTTGCTCTTAATTGTACATGTTTTGAAGCCACCGGACCAAATTACATTGCCTCACTGTGGTTTATGATCAGAAAATACTTCTACGTACGACATATATTGTCAGAACCATTTCTTGATCGCCGAAACGGCCGTGAAGACAGTCAAAACAACGGACATAGTTGGTCGCTTGATGACGTCATTACTGACACCAACCATATCTTAAAAAGCCACAGCTTGTGTTTCTGCGTCGCTCTGCGATCCACGCACGTCTCACGCGCAACAAAAAAATCGAAATTGAAAGAACTCATATATGGCTAAATGGTTATGGCATGAGTGTAGTTAATATGTTAGAATTTAGATTCAGTGGTCTCTTTACATATACACGATAAGCTTACAACGTTTACTTACTTTTCGTAAAAGAAAAAGCTTCAGTTTGCGCAACTGACGCAAATGATTTCTTACTGTTAATGATAAAAAGACAAAGTTTCAAGTAAAATACGTTTCGGTTGCTGATTCCATAAAATAAGTATTGTTCTATTTCTAGGAAACCTTTCAACAGGATCAATCGACAATATATGGCGAGTAATTATACAAGTAACAATAGAATCAGTAGAATAACGACGTATCAACACTTACGGTCGAAAAGTGAACTCTTTTACTGTCTGTTGTGGTAAAAATGTTTAATTTCCTTGTCTTCTTTTCTCTCTTTTTGACCGATTATCGATGCGATTTAGAATTGTGCGTAACCTCTTAAAGGAACTTAGCACAAGATAAACAGTTGAAATTTTCTGTCTTACTAATAACCATGAATTTTAATACTTCAAGTATATATTAGAGAAAGCCTGGTAGTGTCCATCATAGCCTAATAAATGCAACACCTGCTTATTTGAGAGAGGTTATTACACATGCCGTAATATCCCTTTNCTATTTCTAGGAAACCTTTCAACAGGATCAATCGACAATATATGGCGAGTAATTATACAAGTAACAATAGAATCAGTAGAATAACGACGTATCAACACTTACGGTCGAAAAGTGAACTCTTTTACTGTCTGTTGTGGTAAAAATGTTTAATTTCCTTGTCTTCTTTTCTCTCTTTTTGACCGATTATCGATGCGATTTAGAATTGTGCGTAACCTCTTAAAGGAACTTAGCACAAGATAAACAGTTGAAATTTTCTGTCTTACTAATAACCATGAATTTTAATACTTCAAGTATATATTAGAGAAAGCCTGGTAGTGTCCATCATAGCCTAATAAATGCAACACCTGCTTATTTGAGAGAGGTTATTACACATGCCGTAATATCCCTTTGGGAGCCAAACAACAGATGAAGTCAATTTTAAAAAAGCTTTCAAAGCGGCGGTTTAGCCATAATAAGTAAGCAATGGCAAGCTGACTAAGACGGAAAACCTTCAGATTTCTTAATTAGAAACCAACTTTGCCCAGAGTTGAGTTGCTTTTTGTTTCTTTCTTAGAACTATATTATGTTTGCTTTTAGCTTATTGCTGTTTATTATTATAATTGACTTTATGCCACGCACTGCGCTTTTGAAAATGTCCACATGCGAGTTTAGCTAAATAAATATTTCGACGTTTCTTTACCACAATAAACCTATTTCAAATATTATAACATTCAACATGATAAGGAGTCTAGGGAGGCTTGAAACAAACAATTGAATAAAATGTTTATTCCTTTATTTATTTATTTGTTTATTTATTTATTTATTTATTAGCATATTTATCTTTAGAGGGCCACAAGTTTATCAGTAATTTTAATTACTGTCACGTGTAACTCTCGTTAAATAAAGTCGCTTATCTTATCTTATCATATTTTTGTTTGTGTTTAGAACTCATTTTTATGATGAATTCTGCCATGTCGAAAGTGGCCTATTGTAGTACTGTCTTTGTAGTACCGTCTGCCTTGGCCGTCTCGGTTTCAATGCTTTTCTGTGACGTTTAGGACCACGTGAGCCAAAACGCGTAAGCCGTTTTGAAAATGAGAGGAAATTTTAAGAACATCAACAGAGGTTGCATAGGTTCTTATTTCGTTATACCATTTTTTCTTTTTCATTCAGTTTTATTTTATCTTAATGTACTAAGACGGTCTACTAAATTGAGTATACATTGTAGTCTCCCAACGTATTGGCCATGTTGGCGCTACATACTAATCAGGCGGAAATTAAGAAAGTGGAAACGAGCTACCTACGAGCATGGTACATAATTCTCATAAAACTAAAACCGAGTGAGACTTAAGGCATGCGTAATTTTAACTTTTTAATTTTGACACAATTTTGCGTCTTTAAGATAATTTGTCATTCGCCGTGGTTTTCTTCACATTCCCTCTTAAATGGTGATAGTGATCATCGGCTGAAAGAGGGTAAACCATCACACTGAAATGAGACTATGATTATATTCGTCGACATTTGAAATAATTACTAACATCAAAGAGACAGTGGGTATTGAGACTCACATGCGTATAGAAATGCAAATGTTGAAGCCAAAATAATTCCTCCTGAAGTTATTCAATAAATGTTGGACGTACGAAAGGTCAAGTTAAATGTTATATTTTCCAACAATGTCTATCACGGCAGTATGCTTATTATTTTTTTAATCATAATTGTTTTCTTTTCTTTTCTCTTTACTTCTTTTTTTGGCCACTCATGTCTGTCTTACATTTAAGATTATAAATGATATCTAGTGGCAAGAAGGCCTCAGCAAACTCGTTAGAGCTTTTCTAAGGAGATCTCCCATTTCTTACATTCTTTCTTTACAGGTATAGCGTGGTACACCTAATGTAAGAACTTCAATGGGTTTGGCACGCGTCAATTCTAGTGTCTTAGTAAAAAAGTTTCCTTGCTGCCTTCCTAAACTCTTGCATTCTTACTGCATATATTAGGGGATTTACTATAGAATTGAAAAGAAAGAGTAAGTCAAACGAGTAATGGATGTGGGAAAGTACTGCAGGACATGATTTACTCCCCGCTATGTGTTGGCCGATAACATTCCAAATAACCCAAGGAAGAATGGTCAGAAAAGAAGCCACAGTAACTATAAATAAAGTCACCGTTAGTTTCCTCTCTGTTGAAGGAACTGGTTGAGCATTAGGGGACGAAGGATTGTTTTTGACAGTTGAGATGATTATAGCATATGAAACTGTGAGAATGAAAATGATGAGAAAAGAGTAAGATGCATAGACATACAGTAAAGCCGGCGATGCGTACAAATAAAGAAGAACAAACACGGATGACAAAATCAAGGAGAACAACCAACTACACAAAATAATGATTAGGTAAACCCTTTTTCCAACAAGACAATGCCTAAAGGGAAAAAGTGTTGCGTGTAACCTCTCTAAAGAAATCAATGAAATATTAGCAAAAGAAGCAACTAAACAAAGCTCCTGTAATGTGAATTGCACGGATGATTGCCAGCTAAAATCTTGTTCCAGACCCAGATCCGTCTCCTGGTTATGTAGTTCGAATGACATCGAAGATCCGGTCACTGTTCCCACCAGTAAATCAGCCACAGTCAGATTTATTATCAGGTACGTACTGGGCTTGCGTAAGTGACGGTTTCTTGTGTAGATGGCAAGAGTGAAAGCATTCAGTATAAAGATGACAACAAACTCGATGACGAAAGCTGCAAACCAGGCTGTTTCTTCTTTTTCAGAAACAATTCTACAAGTCTCATTCGAAAAGTTCCAGCTTTTTTCCATCCTCAAGAAGTGTTACGTTGACCGTTGGTATTTCTCTTTTCTACAGTAATTTTACCTTTAAAGAATACAAAAAAAACAGCATGTCAATGTAACTAGGAGCAGTAACTCAGCAAAGGAAAACATATATGAGAAAGATAAAACGACAAAATGATTCAGAAGCAATATTAATAAAAGGAGTCAGTCTCAGTTTTCCAACAAACCGCGTTGACGAGCGTTTTACCGAGCACTCCAAAAAATGTTGACATGAATAAAGATGAAGTTAATCTTGCATTGATCTATCGCAAAATGGGAATGAGGTATTTACTCTTATTTATGGCAAGTGATACACCAGGTAAGATAATAATAATGAAAAAACAACCTCACCTGTAACTGGAGCGAACAAATAAATGTTCTTTTTACCTCGTTAGAATAATTAACTGAGGGAGTCTATTTTTTAAAAGCCCAGTCGCCTACCTTGGGCTTACTCGACATTAGCGTTTTTAATATTTAAGAACTTATTTCTTGCTCTGTAAATATTATGGCAAA